GGTCCAGAGGGACCCTTTAGATAACAAAAGATCATCCTATAGATAACACAAAATGTGCAAATGATGATCGATATTGTGCTGCAGAAAGCATGCCTTCTCAACACAATATGGTTCAGAGTAAGGCTTCAGGTATATAATTATATTTTTCTTAAGATGGTCATCATTATTGAAGAGTTGCGCCTAGTCTGAACACAAAAACAATACAGACAATTGATTTATTGTTGTTGTTGTTAAGTGCCATCCAGCTGGTTCTGACTCATAGTGACCCTTTATAGAGTTTCCAAGGAGCAGCTGATGAGTTTGAACTGCCGATCTTGTGTTTCAAACCAACCTTGAGGTTGAGTGCTTATCCTACTGTGCCAGATGAGGACTCCATTGATACACTGGAAAAGCAAAAATAAAAATAAACAAATCATGCTGGATAAAGTGGAAGGTTGACAAAAAAGAGGAAACCCCCCAACAAGATGGATTAGTGGCAGCTGCAATGCACTCAAGCATAGCAACAGTTCTGAGGATGGTGCAGGTTTCCTTCTGTTGCGCATAAGGTTGCTATGAGTCAGAATCTATGACACCTAACAAAAGTGTAGGATCAGCACTGGATTGAAAGGTTGACTTGAACCCACTCTCTTAGTTTCTTGTTACCAACCTTAAGTGCAGTCGAGTTGGTTTTGACTCATAGTGACTCTGTATAGAGTTTCTGAAGAGCAGCTGGTAGGTTTGAACCACCAACCTTTCAGTTTAAAGAACTGAACTTGCAGTCAAGTGCTTATCCTACAGGGCCACACCAGGAAACTAAGTGAGTGGGGTTGTTGTTAAATGTGGACAAGTTGGTTCCAACTCAGTGACCTTGTATAGGATTTCCAAGGATCCGCTAGTAAGTTTGAACTGCCGACCTTGGGGTTCAAGCCGACTTGCAGTTCAGTTATTATCCTATAGCTCCTATAGCGCCACACCAGTACTCCTAGGGAATGCGGTTGTTGTTAAGAGCAATCCAGTCAGTTCTGATTCATAGGGACCATGTATAGGGTTCCTGAGGAGCATCTGGTGGATTTGAACCACCAACCTCATGGTTCATGCTAATCTTGCAGTCCAGTGCTTATCCTACAGTGCCACACCAGGACTCCAGAGTAGACCTCGCAAAACTGACAGAGGGGAAAACTTCGCAAAGTGGTTAGCTGCAGTTGTATGGTTGGTTGTTAAGATCTCTGTGAAAGATCTCAGACGAAGGATATCATCGAAAAATTTTTCAAATACAACAGATTAACAAATAAAAAACTTAGTTCTAATTGGAAAAAGACAAATTGGAACAGGAAATAGGATCCTACGAGACTGCTGGCCTAAGGAGGGCCTGAGCAGAGCAGAGGAACGCTGCCACACCTGGTGCTGTAGGTAAGACGTGGCCCCTCAAACATCTCTGCTGCCTCTACCTGTAAAGGCAGAATAATTACATTTCAATCTGCCTGCTTCAGGATTTGCTTGAAAATTAATGGAGCAAAGGCCTGTCTGGCTTCATGTGCTGAACAACACCCTCTTCTTATTGCTGGTGCTCATTAAATGCTGAATATATAAAATGCACTTTGACAGAGGAGTTGGGAATAATTATACCTTGCTAATTATTGTTAATTTTACCACAGCTTTGAAAGCCTGGACTTTCTCAATGATTCAAAAAGAGATTGCAATGCCTGGTCCCATTAAAGTAGCCACACACTGGCAAACAAGCAGTTTCTCCCAGGCTCCCTGCTTTTATTATTTGAAGTGGTTTAGTTACTGTATGGAACACAGAAAAAACAAGTAGTGATTTGTTCTATAATCAAATTGTTAAAAGAACTCATAATCTTCTGGTTCTTTTGAAGAATTTGTTTCCTTTCCTTTCCTTATACTGAATCTATACATAAATTGTGTGTGTGTACAAAGGAGAAGGGGGGGGAAATCAATTAACAGAAAATTTAATATAGTGGACACAAAGACACCTGGTTTTATCCCTGGTGGTGACATGGTTAAAGCACTGAACTGATCATGGAACATCAGTGGTAGTGTTCCACCAGCCACTCCTCAGGAGAAAGATGTGCCAGTCTGTTTCCTTAAACATTTACAATCTTGAAAACCCTGTTATTAAATATCTTCGAGATGGTCCTGACTCATAGTAACCCTGTATAGGGTGTCCAAGGAGAGGTGGGTAAGTTTGAACTGCCAGCCTTGTAGTTAGCAGTCCCATGCTTATCAGACAGCACCATACCAATACTCCTTGAAAACCTTATGAGACAGTTCTACTGTGTCCTATAGGACCACTAGGAGTCCTGGTGTGGTACTGTGGGTTAATGTGCTGGACAGCAAAGTTGGTTTGTACCAGAAGGTTGGCAATTCAAGCTCACCAGCTGCTCCTCAGAAACCCTATACAGGTTGCTATGAGTTGGAACCAACTCAATGGCACAGACCTACAACAATAATAGGGCCACTGAGGACTCCTAGTGTAGCACTGTGGGAGAAAGCGTTGGACCACAAGATTGATTTGAATTGTAAGGTGGTAGTTCAAATCCACCAGTGGCTCCTCAGAAACCCTATACAGGGTTGTTATGAGTTGGAAGTGACTCCATAGCACTTCACAACAATAGGGTCACTGTTGTTGTTGTTTTAATAACAACAGGTGTGTGCTAGGTTTGTATTCTTTCAGTATTCAATCTGTATGCTGAGCAAATAATTCAAGAAGATGGATTATATGAAAATGTGGCATCAGGATTGGAAGAAAACTCATCAACAACCTGTGATATGCAGATCATATAACCTTGCTTGCTAAAAACAAAGAGCACTTAAAATACTTACTGATGAAGATCAAAGACCACAGTCTTCGGGATGGGTTGCACCTCAATGTAAAGAATACAAAACTCCTCACCACTGGACCAATAAATAACATCAAGATAAATGGAGAAAAGATTGAAGTTGTCAAAGACTTCATTTTGCTCAGATCAACCATCAACACTCATGGAAGCAGCAGTCAAGAAATCAAATGATGCATTGCAGTAGGCAAATCTGCTGCACAAGACTTCTTGAAAGCATTCAAGAGCCAAGATGTCAGTTTGAGGACTAAGGTGCACTTGACCCAAACCATGGTATTCTCAATAACCTCATATGTATGTGAATGTTGGATAATAAATAAAGAAGACCTTAGAAGAATGATGCGTTTGAGTTATGGTGTTGGAGAATATTTAAAGTACCATGGACTGCCAAAAGAACAAACTAACCTGTATTGGAAAAAGCTCCTCATAATTCGGACATATTATCAGGAGGAACCAGTCCCTGGAAAATGACATGTTGCTTGGTAAAGTGGAGGGTCAGCAAAAAAGAGGAAGACGGCCAGTGAGATGGATTGGTACAGTGGCAGCAGCAATGGGCTCAAGCATAGCAATGATTGTGAAATTGATACAGGATCTGGAAGTGTTTTGTAATAAAAGTGTTTTGTTGTGTTGTTCTGAGTCGGTACCAACTTGATGGTACCTAACAACAACATATGGTCACTGAGTTAGAATGGACTTGATGACAGTAAGTTTAGGTTTGGCATATGGTGACAGAACTGTTTCCCTAACCTTTCTTTCAGATTTGGTACCACGTTGTTACCACAAGAATGCATTTTAAGGTCCCAAATTAGACAGGCCAGTTGCCAAAGACCCCTCTCCGGAATCTCAGAAAACTTACTTGATAGTTTTTCCCCTCTGGGAAAAGATTTTGGATCTGTCTCTAAGCCTCAGCTGCATCATAATAGTAGTTCATATCTGTCAGAACTGCCATGAGGATGAGATGACACTTATGAAATGCAAACTATATAAACGTTTGCTATTACGGAATCTGGGAAGAGCGCTGGCTCTGTAGGATAAATACTGGACTGCAAATACAAGGTCGTGGGTAAGCCTTACACTTGCTGGCTGAGGCTTTCTACTCCAACCAAGATTTACAACCTCCGAAACCCTATGCAGGGTTACTATGAGTCGGAACAGATTCGATGACACATAAAAACAATAATTACAGAACTAAGGAACCTTAGTGGCTATAGGATAAGTGCTGGGGTTCTAACATACGGTCAGCAATTCAAATCTACCAGCTGCTTAGTTTAACGGAAGAAAGATGAGGCTTTCTGCTCCTGTAAAGACTTACACCCTCAGAATCCCTATACTGAATCGCTAGGAGTGGGAATCAATTTGATGCAATGGGTTATTAAGGGAATTATGAAAAGAGGAAGGAGTGAAAGAACTTATAAAACCCAAATCTACAGAGGAGTCGGCTCAGGACGACCCCATGTGATAGAGTGAGCTGCTCTATAGGGTTTTCTTTGTTGTAATCTTTATGAAAACAGATTGCCAGACCTTTATTCTACAGTGCTGCTGGGTGGGTATGAATACCAATCTCCCTCTCAGTAGGCAGAGCAAACCATTTTTCTCAACCAGAAACCTCAATGTGCAGGAGACAGATTGGGAAACGCGGAGAAGAAAAGAAGTTCAAAGTCTTGGGGATGGAAGGTGGAGTGAGAATCGAGTCCCTGGCTGTACTTTTCAAACTCTAGAGAATTCCGGCCCACAGAACAACGTGGAGATCCAATGTCCTCAGCTAGAGGTTGTGCCGAGGGCGGGTCCCTCCCTTCCCAGGTGGGCTGGGGGCGGGTTTCCGAAATCGGCAGTGAGGCAGTGAGTATCGGTTTTCCTCTCCTGGGCTTTCGGTCTGGAGGAGGCCAGAGGGCGGGAGCTGCCTCCGCTCCCTTGATCCTATCGCAGGCGACCTAGGCCGGCTCAGCCTTCCGTGTGCATTTGGGGGGGAGGAGGGGAGGGGACTGCAAGATGTGTCACCCAAATACCTATGCATGAGTTGGTGGCCAAACCAGACAGGCAGGTCGGGCAGAGTATAAAAGAGAGAGGGAGCGGCCAGGCGGCAGACGCCAGAAGACAGTTCCAGACAGCTAAAACCTAGCCCGCGCCTCATCCGTCCTCGTCCCGTCCTCGCTCCACGGTCCCATGATGGCCCGGGGCCCGGTGCTCGCTTTGCCGCTGTTGCTGCTGGCGATGGTGAGCAGCTACGCTACCGCACAGGACAACTGTACTTGCCCCACTAACAAGATGACCCTATGCAATTGGGACAGCCAGAGCAACCGCTGCCGGTGCAAGGCGCTCGGCACGAACCACGAGGTCAACTGCGCCACGCTGACTTCCAAGTGCCTGCTGCTCAAGGCGCGCATGCAACGCTCCAAGAGCGGCCGTGCGCTGGTGCGGCCGAGCGAGCACGCGATCGTGGACAACGACGGCCTGTATGACCCCGAGTGCGACCGAGAGGGCCGCTTCAAGGCCCGCCAGTGCAACCAAACCGAGGTGTGCTGGTGCGTAAACTCCGTGGGCGTACGCCGTACGGACAAGGGCGACCAGAATTTGCTTTGCGACGAGCTAGTGCGCACCCACCATATCCTCATCGAACTGCGCCACCGCCCGGCAGCCAGCGCCTTCAACCACACGGACTTGGATGCCGAACTGCGGCGCCTCTTCCGCGAGCGCTACCGACTGCAGCCCAGGTTTCTGACTGACGTGCACTACGAGGAGCCCACCATCCAGATCGAGCTGCGACAGAACGCATCGCAAAAGGCTCCTGGCGATGTGGACATCGCCGACGCCGCCTACTACTTCGAGAGGGACGTTAAGGGCGAGTCGCTCTTCTCCAGCCCTGGCGCCTTCGACATGCGCGTGCGTGGCCAGCCACTTCTCGTGGAGCGGACTCTCATCTACTACCTGGACGAGAAGCCCCCCCAATTCTCCATGAAGCGCCTCACGGCCGGTCTCATAGCCGTGATCGTGGTGGTGGTGGTGGCCCTCGTTGCCGGCGTGGTCGTCCTGGTGATCACCAACCGGAGGAAGTCAGGAAAGTACAAGAAGGTGGAGATCAAGGAAATGGGGGAGTTGAATAAGGAACCGAGCCTGTAGGTACCTGGTGGGGCAGGGTTGAGGTGGGATACACCTGCTTTCAAGATCTTCCCAGATCAAAGTGAGCTATGCTTCTTGATTCTTGGCACACAGGAAGCAGATATTTCTCCTCCCAAATCTTCCCTTTCCCAACCACTGAGTTCAATAAATCCTGGTCCCAGCGGGGATACCTGTCTTTCTGACTTCTTGAAGCATTTCTAAAATTCCTTTCCTTTTGATCCAACAAGAAATCTGACTCTGAAAGTTAAAGGATGGTGTTGATTTTGTATAAGAAGCAAGCGAGGACAACTCAAGCATCGTTTGTGAATGATGGAATCGATTTTGAAAGTTTTAATGGGTTTAGATGGGAAACAGCGTTTTTACTGTCTAGGGTTTAAGGTGTTTGATTAGCTACACTTGTATCCTGGCCTTCTTGATGGGAAGAGGAGCTTGTTAATTGGGCCTACATAGTACCTCATTTAACACCGACTGTATTACCCACCACATATGCTTGTCACCAGGAAAGAGTCTTGTCCAGCTGTCTGAATACACTTAGATGTCTTCATTTGAGGGCAGACTCTACCCCAGAAACTCGGCTTCTAGTCTTCACCCTGTTACAACTGATATTGATAATGTTTTCTTTTGTAAAATGTTTGTACATATATTGTCTTTGATAATGTTACTATGATTGTTTTTTAAACATGAATTTAATAAAATATGAAAAAGGCAAAAAACAAAAACAAAAGATGGAGTTTGTGGAAACGTGCCCCGGATTTGTACCACAATGATCTCTTCATTTCCCATGACTCAGATCTTTTATTTAAAATTCTAACCCTGTTTTTGGAGTGGGTATTTCATATTGCCATTCTGCTTATTTTCTGAGATAGATTTAATTCAGACTGCAGTAGGGTGGGTCTGCTGTGGTTTGGAAATGGGCCAATTTTTGGTTCTCCCTCCTGGAGAAGTCAAACTCTGGTTTCACAAGCTCTCATCTCCCATGAACCCCACCCAGCCCTATTCTGAAGTAGGTAATACTATTCCCATTTAGCTCTTGGGCAAATTGTTTAATCCCAAGGTATAGTAGCTCTGAGAGAGTTTAATGACTTTCCCTAATAATTACAGCCAGCCCATAATTGGCCTTATATTCTGGCTATTCATACATTTTTCTAAGCAGTGACATGCTTTTAAAAGACTATTGTAATCAGCTGTAAAAACTAACTACTTGCTATTTTTTGCTTGCTTTTCTTGGTCGTTTATGTAAATATAGGTGTATTAAGAACTCACTGGGTAGAGAGCTTACAGGTAAACAAGTTACTGGAAAACTGGTCCTGCAATAGGTACATGTATGTTAAAGGAGGGAGTGGTTCACATACCTAACAAAGACTCCAGCCCTGAGTTTACTCCAACTCATGTTAAATGCCCTCTCACAGAGCCACTAAAAGGAGCTCTGATAGCATAGTGGTTACCAATCGGGCTGCTAATCTCACACGGTCAGCTGTTCGAAACTACCAGCTGTTCCGCGGAAGAAAGATGAGGTGTTCTGCTCCTGTAAAGATTTACAGCCTCAGAAACCCTGTCCTGGGTCACTATGAGTCGGAATCGACTCCACGGCTCATAACAACATCATAGAGACCCTATGTAGGATTCCCAAAACAAAATCTTTTGGGAGCAGACAGCCTCATTGTTCTCCCTCAGAGCAGCTGGTGTGTTTGAACCAGGAACCTTTCAGTTAGCAGTCCAGTGCCTAACCCATAGTGCCACCAGGGCTTCTTGGTTGGCGTGATGTTAAGTGTTGAATTTTCCGGCTCATAGCAACCCTGTGCAGGGTTTCTGAGTTGCTGCTGGTATAGGTTTGAGCTGCCAACCTTGTGGTTAGCAATCTAGTGCTTATCCTACAGCACCACACAGGACTCCATGGTATGGAGCACGGTTCTACTCTGCTCTGACACATGAGCCTGCCATGTTGAGGACTAGTTTTTAATTGATAGGTGATTGGTTGGCATGTTAAGTGTTGTCCAACTCACAGCAACCCTGTACAGGGAGTCCTGGACTCCTTCCATAATGATGAGAGCCAAGAACACTCTGTGGAGCAGTTCTGCACTAATATATGGGGTCTCCAGAGCTAGGAGCAACGGTATGGCAGTTAACAACAATAAAAATAGTAAAAGTAACAAATAGCTACATCCAGGATTTAAGTTTCTTTCCTGAAATCCATCTCACTCTCCTCCTACCCACTGTTGGATAAACCAGTAAACAAAATGAGCACAGGTTTATTTGTGCTTATTTACTAATCTGGTGTGAACAATTCCATAGATTTTCACCTTGTCAAAGATACTGCTTCCAGGAATGGCTGGCCTGTCTCACAACTCTACAGCAACATTCTACAGAATCAAAGCTTTAAATTTATACTCCCTGTGGGAGTACCCAGTAAACAAGGTAAACACGGGCTTACTTGTGCTTACTTATTCAACAGTAGCGAACAGTTTCACTGCATATGTTTTTCACCAGATGAAACTTATTACCTTGCTTTCTGGTTAACCTGTCCCTGCTCCTACCCAAGCTTTATGGAATGATCTGTGTTTACCCCTGAATGCTGTAACCCAGGGACAGGCAGCTAATAACAAAAAGCACGCAATCACTGCCTCAGTGCTTAAGCCTCCCTGCTTGAAGTTGTCATTTGTATACTAGTGTTGTTTTATGTTAAGTGTGGAAGACAGCAAAAGCATCCGAGGTTAGTATGGGCTCCCCAGGTGCTTTCCACAACTTGAGTCACTGTGAAGTGCCTTAGCTAAAGGTACCTTGGCAATCAACTCTAACTTGATTCCTCATTTTATGTTTGAAAGGACGATTGATTTATCAAGCTCTGGATTAATGTTTCAGGGTCACAGCTAAAACTAGAAAATCTCTTGGTTCTTGGACCAGTGTTCTTTTCACACATTGCCATTGTTTCAAAAGTCATTTCAAAAAACTATCACTTGCCTGCCTAAAATATAAACAGAGCTAAACTACCAGCCACTCCGCGGGAGAAAGATGAGGCGTTCTGCTCCCATAAAGATTTACAGCCTCGGAAACCCTGTACAGGGTGGCTATGGGTTGGAACCGACTCGACGGCACGTAACAACAACAAACAAAGGAAGCTCCTTAGAAAGGCCATTCCACCCAATCAGTGTCCTTGCTGGATAACTTACATTTCTGCATTCATTCTGGATTAGCAGACCTTGTACTTTTTAGCACTTTATAGTTCACAAAACTCTTCCACAAGTACAGTCTCCATTGAGACTGACTTGTTGGAAATAACCCAGGTCTTGACAAACCTGAGTTCCAATTCTGCTCTACTGGAAAAGCAAGTCGCTTAACTATCTTCAGTTTCTTCACTTGTTAAATGAAACTACTAATTTCTTTCACAATTGCAAAGATTAAATTAGGTACTTGATTATAATGGCCTAGAACAGGCAGTAATTATCTATATTAAAAATAGTCCAAACTCAGCAAAATTTGAACATAGATTTATTCTGAGCAGCTATTCTACGAGGGTGAGTCAAAAATTATCCTCACTCTGGCTGGTGGTAGTTATGTGCCGTGGAGTCAGTTCCCACTCATAGCGGCCCTGCACAGGGTTTCTGAGGCTGTAAATCTTTACAGGAGCAGAAAGCCTCATCTTTCTCCCGTGGAACAGCTGGTAGTTTCAAACTGCTGACCTTAAGGTTCTCAGCCCGATTCATAACCACTACGCTACCAGAGCTCCTTTCACTCTGGCTACATAATTTAATCAACTTTTAGAAAAGACAAATATATAATTTTTCAACATAATCTTGCTTTTCAATACACTTTGTCCATCTGTCAACAAGCTTTCATATTCCCTTATTAAAAATGTAGGCTGAGCTGCCAGCCACAAATGCACCACTGACTTTCCTTTTACATCAGAGGTGAATCTTCATCCTCAAAGGGCTGCCTTCAGAGGACCAGACAGGTGGAAGTCCAATAGAAGAAGATCAGGACTACACGGAGGTTTTTAACACCTCAAAACAAAGTTTTTGTGGAGTGTCAGTAATTTGAGCAGCGGTGTGCAAGATGACAACACCCTTGGATAACACTCCTTGGAGTTTAATTTGAAGTGTAGGCTCCAACTCTTTAATGAGCATCTCACTGCAAGGAGCGCTGTTGATTATTGAAACTTTTCCTGATAGCAGTACAATACTATCAGGAAAAAGGTTTAACAATCGACAGCGCTCCTTACAGTGAGATGTTCATTGAAGGGCTGGAGCCTACACTTAGGAGTAAATGCAGAGGACTGCTATCCAAGGGCATTGAGATCTTGCATGACAATTCGTATCTGTTTCCTCCGACTCTGCAAAAGCTTCCTGGTTTTGAGGTGTTAAAACATCCTCCCTGTAGTCTTGATCTTGTTCCATTGCACATTTACCAGTTTGGTCCCCTGAAAGCAGCCCTTTGAGGACGAAGATTCACCTCTGATGAAGAAGTGAGCACAGTGATGTGGCTGGCAGCTCAGCCTAAAACAGTTTTTTAATAATGGAGTGTAAAAGTTTGTTGATAGTTGGACAAGGTGTATTGAAAAGCAAAGAGATTATGCCAAAAAATAACGTATTTGTCTCTTCTAAAAGTTGATGAAAATAAATTCTACAACCAGAGTACGGATCTTTTTTACTCACTCTCGTAGATGCATGTTTGAACCACAGGTAGATGTTGCCATGAAGAGTCAGTTCCAACTCGTAGTGACCCTGTATAGGGTTTCCGAGCAGTGGCTGATGGGTTTGAACTGCCAACCTTGTGGTTGTTGTTATTAAGTGACGTTTAGTCAACTCTGACTCATAGCAACCCTGCATAGGGTTTCTGAGGAGCAGCTGGTGTGTTTGAACTGCCAACCTTGTGGTTCACAGTCCAATGCAGATCCTATAGTGCCACACCAGGAGTCCAACTTGTGGTTAGCAGCCCAGTATTTATCCTACAGCACAACACTAAGACTCCTAAATGCATATTGTTATTAAGTGCCTTCGAGTCAG